TCTGATGGTTAATTGGAGATAAGAGTCTCCCAGGCTGGGAAGGTGGCTCAGTGGTAGAGCGCTTGCCTTGCATGCCTGAGGCCCTGGGTTCAATTCCTCAGCACCACATAAGCAAAAAGAAAAAAAGCCAGAAGTGGCGCTGTGGCTCCAGTGGTAGACCACTAGCCTTGAGCTGAAAAGCTGAGGGACAGCACCCAGGCCCAGAGTTCAGGCCCCACAACCGGACCCCCCCCCCAAAAAAAGTCTCCCAGACTTTCCTGGCTGGGCTGGCTTTGAAACATGATCCTCAGATCTCAGCCTCCTGATTAGCTAGGATTACAGGCATGAGCCACTGGTGCCTGACAACGTTTTTTTCTTTTTCTTTTTTGTCTTTTGGTACTGGGGATTGAACCTAGGACGTTGTTACACTTGCTAGGCAAGCACTTTGCCACTGAGCTACATCCTAGCCTTGTTACATCTTTTTAAAAATCTTGGGCTGAGGGGCTAGGAAGGTGGCTCAGTGGTAGAGTGCGTGCCTTGCATGCATGAGGCCCTGGGTTCGATTCCTCAGCACCACATAAGTAGAAAAGCCAGAAGTGGCGCTGTGGCTCAAGTGGTAGAGGGACTAGATCCCACAGGCAGATCTCCCAGGTACTTACCATTCCCTCTACTCCTGTCTGCACTCACCACAGCCTGCTGTTAACTCCCTTCAGTCTGCCAGGTCTCTTCTTTAACACTTCCCACCATAAAGATGCTCAGAGTGAATGGGTGTTCTCTTGTATGGCTGGCTAGTAAGCATCCTGAGGCCCTGAGCCTTTCCCGTCTTGGTCTCATTAGAAGCCCTACCGTGGGCTTTATACCATGTCTACATTGACTTTCTAGACTATGGTTCAGGCCAAGCGAGAAGAGAATATGTCCACAAAGATTCCAAAGAGACCCAAGGCCTTTCCCCAAGCCCACAGTGCAGCCACCACACATACCCGAGAGTATTGCAGCTTGTCCACAATGTCATCACTGGTGAGTGGAATTAGTCCTGGAAGACACAGAAAAGCACTGTAAACAAGAGTCAACAACCACCTCCTAAAGCTGGAGAGGCCTCTTCCTCTGACTCCACACACAGTTCCCTCCCCCTATTTGAACACCAGCACTTACCAAGCCTGTGAGCAATGAACTCATCATGAAGGACAGAAGAATTGGCATCAATCTGAACCCAGTCGATGGCTAAGCAATGAAGAAGCAGAACACAGTTAGAGGGACTGGGGCTACTGCAATGGTAGAGCACCTGTCCAGCATGCCAAAGACCTTAGTTTCCATCCTCAGCACCACACACCAAGATGTGGGGGGGGGGGGCCCACACGTGTGTGAAGTTTTGCCACCAAATCCACCCTCAGACTTACAGCAGTGTTCTTACCATTGCTAACTAAATTGTAGAGGCCTGGGTCAGGCTTCCTGAGTTTCTGATTTCGCAGTACTAGAGTTGGGCCCCGGAAATTGCATTAAACAAGAATCAAATGCTTCACTTCTGTGTCCAGGGATACCACATAAGAGGGAACATTAACTTTGAGCTGGAGGTTTTCCTGAGAAGCACTTAAATCTGTTACCCATGCCAATACCGAATCTAAAAACAAAAACTATTTGGGCACCTAAATATTACAGAATGCCTTACAGAAGAAACAGACTTATTTATGGGTCACACCAATAGTTCTTCAATCACTCTATCCTTCAGTGGGCAAAACATACTTGTTAGAAAACCTAATCTCGCTCACAATTCATAAACAAATATCTACACAACATGTAGTGCCACTACAGCTGGGCACTGGTGGCTCAAGCCTGTAATCCGATCTACTCAGGAGGCTGAAATCTGAGGATCAAGTTTCAAAGCCAGCCTCGGTAGACCTTAATCTCCAATTAACCACCAAAAAGCTGGACGTAGAGCTGTGGCTCAAGTGATAAAGAGTGCCATTCTTGAGTGAAAAAGCATCCAGGCCCTGAGTTCAAGCCCAGTACTAACACACACACACACACACACACACACACACACATGCACAATCCAAGAGATTAAAGGCCAAAGGGGCAGAGGTACTAGGAGTAGAGGTCACAGAGGCCCAGACATGGCCAGACCCTGATGTGCTTTGTCTGCAATGCTTCCCAAACCAAGCAAGGACTATAAGCAGGTCCCCTGAACTCTTCTCCCTGGCATGTGCTACCACCACTTCCCCTCCCCTCCCACCTTGCTTCCCGCAGGTGAAAACGCTCACCCTCTGAAAGCCAAGACTGTCCTCCATGCTACAGAAGTCACCACACCCTGCCTGTGAACTCCTAAGCGCTCATAAATTTCTGTCCAGATTCTCCTTAAGACCCCTATTGTGCTTTGTCTAGTGTCACATCCGTGTACGACATTACCTCCAGACTGGCAATTACGTACTTACACACATGTGGCTGAAACAACAGACTCATAAAACAGCTAAAGAAACAGACAAGCAAGATGTGGGGCGTATACACAATGGAGTACAATTCGGCCATAAAGAAGAATGAAATTGTCATTTTGCAGGGCCATGGAGGGAACTGAAGATAATCCTGTTAAACAGAATCAGACACTCTCAGAAAGTCACCTAAGTACATTGGAAACGTGTATGAGAATGTCAGCACTCCCGTTTTCTCCGTACCCTCACCCTCACCAAGGACGGCAGGAACGGGGGTCGCGTACCTATTATGGGTACCTCGGCGATGAAGACTCTTCGAATAGAATTGGCCACCCTGGAGGAGAACACGTAGCCTGAGCGGCGTGAGGGGCTCCGCGGGCCGCCCCTCTCCCTCCGCCGCCCCCCCCCGGCTGCCCGGCTCCCCGCCCGCCCCCCGCCCCGCCCCGCGGCCCCCACAGTTCCCGGCGCCCCACAGCGGCCCCCGCAGGCCGCCCCGCTCCCCGCGCCCCAGCTCGCTCAGGAGGCACGCCAGCCCCACCCCCAGCTCCACAGCCCTTACGCCAGGTCCGTGTTCTCGATGATGAACTTGACGTTCTCGTCCGTGAGCTCCGTGATGCGCACGGTGGGCTGGTTGGCGTACGGCATCGCGCCCCACGGCCACCGACCTCCCGCGTCAGCACCACTGCGCCTGCGCGTCTACAGGCCGCGGAAGTCAGTCCGTGGGGCACCGCCCCTTCCGCCAAGAAGCACGCACACACAGCGCCACCTGCTGCCCGGAGGCCGGTACAGCCCCAGAGTTTTCTAATCCCATAGGCTTCAAAATGTTATCAGGTTCCACCATGTTGGAAGGTGAAGTGGTAAACCGTACTCCACTGGCTGAAGCACTTACAGTTGTAAGCAAAGATACATACAGATGCATGTTCATGCCGGTACTGTTTGTAATAGCAAAAGATAAAACTAATTACATTGGTTTTAAATAAGACCTGCTTAATACACATGTAGGAATATTATAATAAACTTTTTTTTTTTTGGTGCTGGTCTTGGGTTGGAACTCTGCCTGGACACTATCCCTGAGCTTTTTTGCCGGTGCTCTACGGATTGAGGCAGAGCTCCACTTTTGGCTTTTGAGTTGTTTGTTGGAGAGAGAGTCTGACTTTCCTGCCCAGGCTGGCTTCAGACTGAGATCCTCAGATCTCAATGTCCTGAGTTGTTAGGATTCCAGGTGGGAGCCCCAGGAACCTTGCTTTTCTGTTTCTTTAAATGAAGTAAACATGGCAGACAGTCATGTCTATAATAATCCTAACTATTCAGGAGATCCAGAGGATCACCATTCCAAGCCGGCTTAGGCAGAAAAGTTTTCTAGACTCCATCTCCACAATACCTAGCAAAAAGCCACACAGGAGGCATGGCTTAACTGATAGAGCAGCCAGCCAATCTAGCAAGCTCACTGAAATCAAATCCTAATACCACAAAAAAGTTCATCTATGGAATTCATGTCCATTTTAGCAAAGTATGCTTCGATAAGACACACATCCCTTTTCCACTTCACCCTCATCTGGACGATGTACTTCTATACACCACAGGAAAAGATCAAAGTGCTCTTTGAGGCTTCATCTACAGTGCTATGGAGTTGTGGAGGGTGGGAGCTCATCTCTCCATTCCTAGTGCCTGACAATGTGTGCTGTCACATAGGTTAAACATGAACATTTTTAAGAATTACCCCAGTCCCTTAAATAGACTAGACAGGCTTAAATGGACTTCAAAAAGTGGTAGCTGTTTACCCACAGGAAAGCAGCCTTTACGTAGAACATAGCAGAAACTACGTTTGGGGGGCAGAAAGGTCACCAGAGAATGAAGAGTTTGCTGGAGCAAGGAATGACATCTCTTCCTGACTAGAGTAAGTGCTCAGAGGGGCCTTGCTCCACCCATGCCTCTCAGTACTAACAAATTACTCTGCTGACTGTAAGATGGGTGCTATGAAGGACAAAGGAGATGGCAATGGAATGGACTAACTACTGCTAGAACTTCACAGGGCTTAGAGGCACATATCAGTGGAAAGCCCACATGAAGAAACCTGAGCTCTGATTAACTCCTGATTTGCCCAGGGTAATTTTGCTGACTTAGGCAGACAGCAATGCAGAAGACAGAGATGCAGAGGTCCAGAGTGGGGCCAGGTAGGGTAAAGGCTGACAAAAATCATTAAAGCTGAAGAAAGAATCATGATGGAAGTGGAGGTGTGATGCAAGTAATAGAGCATCAGCTTTGAAAGAAAAAGCCAAGTGAGAGTACATGGCCCAGAGTTCAAGAGTATGATACTAGCACGCATGTGTGCGCGCACACACACGCACACACACACACACACAAAGGAGCTAACTAACAGACTGGGAAAGACCCTGCTACCATCACTTGGTTGGCTGGAAAAAATCTAGTTGCCTTTATTCCTGTAGGTTTTGGCAGCACCAGGACCAGAGCTCAAGGCAGATGGCCAAGGCCAGATAATGAGAAGCGTATGTGTCTGTTCTGTCACGTATGATTTGTGGACCTTATACAGCTCAGAGGCTAGGTATTCCTTACCTCTGAGAAACTACAACAGGAAATTGCTTCAAATATATTTATTATTTTTTACAGATTCATTCATTGTACATATTCTAAATACAGTAACACTCCCACAACGCATCACTGTCCACCCAGCAGGCACCCACCTCAGGCGAGGCAGCTTTCTAAGGGGATCCGCAGGTGTAGCATCTCAGGACAACAGCAAGGAACTTGTGTGCACCCAAGCCTGTGCTCTGCTGGGGATGGACTGCCACCTTGTGGTGGCATTGGACCTGGTGCCTGGTTGCCCCACCAACTACTTGTAAGACTAAGACATGATCAAGGTAAGACCGTGAGGGAGGTGCTGTTTCTGTGGTTTGAGTGCTCAGATGAGAACATCCCTCAGGCTTCACAAGACCAGATGGGTAGTAGGAACCGAAGAAAGTGGCCCAGTTCCAGGCCAGAGTTGTGTTCAGGTGCCTGATGGTTTCCTAGTGGCTGTGGAGTGACTCCAGAGTCCTTCAGTGTGTTTTCATGAACATCTGGTTCCATGGATGATACTTACTTATCAAAGCTCTTTAAATCTAGCTGCTTGTTTTCTTCCAGGAACTCAGGCTGACATCTATCCTTTCACCGGCGCTGGTTCAGACCTGTTAGGTTCTTGAGCTGGTACAAGAATAGTAACAGAGAGCGTGTGAGGCTCACCTCAGGGTCTTCAGAGGGTAAGACTGGGGTTTTCATGGAGGCAGGCATGGCTAAGAGAGGTTCTGGACACACCAGGGGCCTGGAGTCAATGTTGTTCCCTGACACCAGTAATGAAAAGAAGTAGGCATTTGGGATCAAGACTGCAGCTATGGTGTCTGTCTTATTATCAGCTTTCAGTTGAAGGCTACAAACTCTGTGGAGTCAGTGATGCATGCTAGAAATGGCACCGGGCCTGAGTGGGGTGGTAGGTGGGCAGTACTCACCGTCACTGCTGCACCCATGAGTCCTTGAACCAGTGCCTCTCCAGTGGACTTTACCTAGAAGGAATGTGAGTGAGTTTTCCCTGAGTCCCCAGGATGAAACCAAAGGTGGCGCAGATGGACAGCGAGAAAGCCCATGAGTCCAGACAAGTGGAATCTAGATGACCCAACGGATGGGGGAGGAGCCTATGGACAATAGTCACACCTGGGCAAAGCATGACCCTTCAGAAAGCAACAGCCAGCCTTCTTGGGAAGGCCCATAGACTGTAGGCTGAGGCCAACAGGGAGCACAGGAGCAACTAGGTGACCAGTTGTGTACCTGAGAGACAGGGGAGCTGCCTGAAGAGAGTTCCCAAACTGCTGGCCCCCAACTACCTGCTTGGCAGTGTGGCCCATGTTCATGGCATCATTAATCCGGTTTTCCAGGAAGCGCCAAGTGTCCTCGAAGTCTGGGGATGAGTCCTGCATCATCACCAGCTCTGTTGTGTTGTAGATGCCAGCCAGCACAGCACGACGCGTATACCAGTTAAACTGTAGAGACACCCACCAAGGATGAGGGCTGACCACTGCTCTGTGGGTCTGGAGAATTCTGGGTAATTCCCACCCAACACTTTGGGGACTCTGAGGATCCCTTCTGATGTTTTCTTTCCGTCACAGATCCATATGGCCCTCTGGATACCATTACTGTCCTCAACTCGTCTAGGCATTGGCATTGCCTATGAAGTTTAAAACTAAAACTCGGCTGAATGACGCATGCCTATAATAGGCTGGCTCAAGGCCAGCCTATGCTACACTGAAAGACCCTGTCTAAAATAAAAATAAAGAAATAAACAAATGGCTGGAAGCATGACTTAAATGCTAGAGCACTTAACCAGCAAGTATGAGAACCTGATTCAAGCCCTAGCAGCACCAAAAAATAAATAAAAAGTGAACTGCTTGTGTGTAACCCTTTCTAGTTGTGTGAGTGGCCCTGAATTATGTGCCAGGAAGCAGTCCCTCCACTCCGGAACTGCTAGTGAACAACTGTCTTTAGATACCTGAATCCAATTATGACCAAGCCTTAGTGAGCTTGCCAGTAGAGTGGGGCCTGAGGCAGGGCATAACACCTGGGCAGAGCTGAGAGTTCAAGTCCCTGGTGACTTCTGCCAGTCCTGGCAAACTACTCTTCAGAGGAATGGCTTGTCTGCTTGTTTTATTCCTTTCATTTCTCTGCTTTCTAATTTTGTTTCCTTAAGATCTCACACTGAGGAAGTTTATTAAAGCACTCTGTTCTAAGTGTGCTGGGACTATCAGTGTGCCTCCTCTCCTAAGCCCACAAAGAACTACCTTTTAATTTCCTTTAGGAAAGTATATTTGGTTTTTTAATTTCCCACCAGTAATATGGTAACATTAACAAGTCATATCTTTCCTGGTGCCTGTTTGAAGGAGCTTACTGATCTCCAGCAAAGCAGGCCAAGATGAGTGGGAGAAGGGACTTTCTTTTTAAAGCAATGCGTACCTTCATGGCATCTCCCTGTAACCCCCAAAAAATCAGTTTCAGCAAAGACAGACACTGAGGAATTCTGCAGAATTTCCATCTTAGAAGATTGAGGGGAAAAATGGTTATAAAAAGCAATCAAGGGCTGGGAAGGTGGTAGAGCAGTGGTAGAGCACTTGCCTTGCATGCATGAGGCCCTGGGTTCGATTCCTCAGCAACACATAAGCAAAAAGAAAAAAGCCGGAAGTGGCGCTGTGGCTCAAGTGGTAGAGTGTTAGCCTTGAGCTGAAGAGCTGAGGGACAGCGCCCAGGCCAAGAGTTCAGGCCCCACGACTGGACCCCAAAAAAAAAGCAATCACAAGTTGATGCTCAGTGCTGGTCTCTAAGTACCTAGAGCCTACTCTGGCCAAGGAGGGGTCTTCCTCACAGCTTGGATGGGAATGACACCACAGGCTCCTGCAAAGGTTTCTGATAAAAGCCATTTCATAATGGCTTTCTGGAAAAATGTTTCACCCAAGCCATCCTGGGGGTCCTGTAGGCCTGCAGGCAACACTCACATCTGTAGACTGGTCCCCAGCGTAGTGCCACATGTCATCCACCATGCTGGTGAGCAGATTCAGGCTGGGCGGGATGTTGTGAGGGAGCAGGAGGACGCTGAGGGCCTGTGGAGAGAGGATAGAGGGACAGGTACTGCACACAGGTAACAGGTAACAAGCACACAGTAGGCTTGCAGAGTGTATGGAGACAGCTGTAGTTGATTTCCTTCAGCTCACACTAGTGATAGCATCAGTCAGAGGCCCTCCTGCTCTGCCTGGACAAGGCCTTGCCATTTTAACTCTTGAATCCACTGCTGTGACTCACAGAGCTGTTCAGAGGGCCCTGGTCTGGCCTGGAAGCTGCCCAGAAGGCTGTGCTGAATCAGGACAACAGCAAGGGCCCAATAATGTGCTGCTAGGGATTAAACCCAGGTACACAATTGTCCTGGCTTCATACCCAGGCCTGGGCTAGGCAGGCCACAGGGCTGGAATGGTGGACACCTGACATTACACACTCAGTAGTCTTCTAGTTGGACCAATGACACATCATTTCTGATGTGCTTTTTGACTCTGTACTTTACAACTTGGAGAATGGCCCACACTGACAGGCTTTGAGAGAGGGAAAAAGAAGCTTCAGAAAAAGGGCAGCAGTCCTTGGAATGAGCATGCCTTCTCCAAGTACTGTGCCGGCAATATGACAAGCAGTCCCAGTTCCGGAGATCTGGAACACAATAGGGCTATTATTGAGGTAAGGGTGGCCGATTGAATCCTCTTACTATACTAACCTCCTTCATTCTTCCTGTGGAAGGCCTGGGGTCACCCCCAGGCCACTCACATCAAAGCACTGAGACCCAGAGGGTTCAGTGTTGCTCTCTCTGGGGCTCCCAACCTCCAGAGTGTACAGAGCTTTCCTGGGTCTATGGAGTATGAGCTAACTTCCCAGCAGCATAAGGTCCTCTGAGTGGCAGGTGCTGAGAATGAGAAACGCTACTATTTCTGTTGCTTTGGGGCCTGGAAGTGGTCTCTACCCGGGGCCAGTGCTCAATGTACGGGATCAGCATTCTCAGTCTGGTTTCCACTGCATCCCTCAGGAACTGGTCTGTCTTCCTCTTCCTGGAAGAGGGAAAAGAAAACAGTGTATCTCTGGATCAAAGGCAGGGACTTGGGGCTACACTGCATATCAGCCCAGGGAGAAGGTCATCCTGAAGAAATCTGTCAGGACGGGCTGTTGGGCTTCAGAACCATCTGAGAAGCAAGGTTGGTAATCACTCTTTTGGCTCTGCTTGATTTGGCTCCTGGGGATAGCTGCTAGATTCAGGGACCCTAGTTAGTCCTTGCTGCCCCCTGAGAGATAATACCACAGGACTTACTCTGCCTGGCCCAGTTGTACCAGCTTCTGCTCCTCTTCTAGCACTCGGGTAAGCCGGGCATTGCACTGGGTCACAAAGTGCAGAATCAGCTCGCTGCCATCGTTCCCGAACATGCTGGCTGCTGCACTGGAGAGTCCCAGGGACTACAGAAGGCAGAGGACACAGGGCAGTGGGGCCTGGTAAAGCAGCTGCTTCCTGTCTGGCCTTGTTCATCACAGGGGACTGCTCTACAGTGGAACCCTCACTTTTCAGACCACCAGTCTCTCACACCCCATCAGCCTTTGGTACGTAGAGGGTGAGTTAACCACTGGCTCAGAATGGGCACAGGACAGGACCTAATGCTTTCTTTCCAGTGTCCTGTAGTTTTAGCTTTGCATAAAAACTTCTCTGAAAAGGAAGCCCGGACAAGGAAGCAGAGCATTGTGGGGAGATGGTTCTGGAAGCACAGCCTCGGAACACTACCAGAGCTGTTTAGACACTTGTCACTGAATGAGTTAAAACACTCCTTTTCTTGCACAGATCAGTTAAGAGTTAAGGTGTGGCCCTTGCACCTAGATCCCCAACTAATACTACAGGGCTAGGGGAAGCACCCGCAAGCCCTTTCCTGAACCGTTCTCTCTACCTGATCTCTTGGAAATGAGGCCTACCCATCTCTGCCTTTCTCTTTCTCTCTCTTTTTTGGTGGACCTGGTACAGTGCATGTATATTATTTGCTCAATAAATAATGAGCAAAATTTTAAAACATCAAAAAGCTGATGGAGCCAGGCACTGGTGGCTCACACTTGATCCTAGCTACTTAGGAGGCTGAGATCTGAGAATCATGGTTTGAAGCCAGCCTGAGCAGAAAAGTCCCCATGAGACTCTCATCTCCAATTAACACTCAAAAACTTGAAGTGGTACTATGGTTCAAGTGGTAGAGCACTATATTTGAGCACAAAGGGGCTTAGAGACAGTGCCCAGGCCCTGAGTTCAAGCCCTGCAACCAACAATAACAAAAAAAAGCTGATGGTAGTATCTTTGGTGTATCCTAGATGTTTTTTTTTTTTCTTTTGGTGGTACTGAGGATCAAACCCATCCTTTCAATTTGCAGTGAGCAGTGGTGTGAAAGTTTACACATCCCACTCACATGACTTCCCTTGTGGGGTAGTGAAAAGACAAGCGACTGTGAAATTGAAGTGAAGCGCAAGCTGGCCCATGGTCTAAAGTGCCAGCAGCAGGTTGGGATGGGAGACAAGACGGTAATTTCCTCAGTCTATCCTTGAGAACTTCTTACAGGGCAACTCCACACTGTGGCCTACAGGGGAGCTGAATGCTTACTCTATAACAGCAATCTCTTCTAAAACAGAATAACAGTAACTTGCTGAGAGAAATAAATCCAAAATTCTTGAGGGTGTTTCAAACATCATCTTATTAATTTTAAGACATACATATATATATTTCCCAGTATGAACTAGGAGCTGGTGGCCCATGCCTGTAATTCTAGCAACTCAGGAGGCTGAGATTTGAGGATGGTGGTTTGAAGCTAACCTGAGTTAACCTGAGCGTAAATCTGAGCTGAGAGCTTGCGATCTTGAGTTCAAGCCCCAGTCGCAGCACATGTAAGCACACACTAACACACATACACAGACCAGTAAAATTCAGAAAATTCATCATACCTCATAGCTTCATGGGCAGCATTTTTCTTTTTTATTGATGCATTAAAATAGTGGCTCAAGCTGGGCACCAGTGTCTCACACCTGTAATCCTAGCCACTAAGGAGGTTTAGTTTCTGAGGACTGAGGTTCAAAGCCAGCCTGAGCAACAAAGCCTGTGAGACTGTTATCTCTGATTAAATCAGAAAACTGGAAGCAGTGCTATGGCTCAAAGTGGTAGAGTACTAGCTAGCTTTGAGTAAAAAGAGCCCAGGGACAGTACCCAGTCCCTGAGTTCAAGCCCCATGACTGACAAAAATAAATAACAATTAAAAAAACAGTTGCTCCAGGGACTAGGAATGTAGCTTAATGGTAGAGTGCTTGCCTAGCACGCATGAAGCCCTGGGTTCAATTCCTCAGTACCACATAAACAGAAAAGGCTGGAAGTGGTGCTTATGGCTCAAGTGGTAGTGTGCTAGCCTTGAGCAAAAGAAGCTCGGGGACAGTGCCCAGGCCCTGAGTTCAAGCCCCAGGACTGGCAAAAAAAAAAAAAAAGTGGCTCCAGCTAGACACGTGGTGCATACTTCTAATCACAGTATTTGAGAGGCTGAGGCAGGAAAACTTCACACTCAAGGCTAGCCTGAGCTAATACTGAGACCCTGTTTTAAATGACTAAAGTTCTTATTTTGCTGTTGTTGTTGGTTATGAGGCTTGAACTCTGGGCCTCAGCTCTTCAGCTCAAGGCAAGCACTCTACTACTTAAGCCACAGCGCCACTTCTGGTTTTCTGGTGGTTAATTGGAGATAAGAGTCTCATGGACTGGGGCTGGGAAGGTGGCTCAGTGGTAGAGCGCTTGCCTTTCATGCCTGAGGCCCTGGGTTCGATTCCTCAGCACCACATAAGCAAAAAGAAAAAAGCTGGAAGTGGTGCTGTGGCTCAAGCATTTGGGGGTAGCCTTGGGCTGAAGAGCTGAGGGACAGCGCCCAGGCCCAGAGTTCAGGCCCCACAACCGGAACCAAAAAAAAAAAAAAAAAAATCTCATGGACTTTCCTGGCTGGGCTGGCTTTGAACCGTGATCCTCAGATCTCGGCCTCCTGAGTAGCTAGGATTACAGGTATGAGCTAGTGGTGCCCAGCCAAAAGTTTTGTTTTTTAAATACAGAGCCTCTTATAAACAATGGCATTTCAGAATCAAAATATGGCAATTTTGATCACAGACAATTCTTGCCTAATAGGTGTTCTTAGAACATGACTCTCAAGAACCAACTCCATAGCACAATAATTTAGAAACAGGCTGGGCAGGTGGTATATACCTGTACTGCCCATTCATGAGGCTGAGGCCAGCCTGGGCTACATAGTAAGAACCTGTCTCAATACCCCTCCTCCTCCAAAAAAGATCTATTCCATTATAATGGGGAGAAAGAAAAAAAAAATCCTAGACAATCCTGTAGCTATGTGGGGCTTTGACTAGGCTATAAGAATGCATGAGGCCTTTAGCTTCCTACGACTCCAGGCAGCCCTTCCCTCATCAATACACACCTTGGCTCCTTCGGCAATGGCCTCTGCCGTCCAGCCATGGATGGGTACGAACTCCAGGGCTGCTGTGAGGATGCGGTGCTGCAGCTGGTCCTCACTCTCATAGTCCTCCTCCTCCTCTCCGCTCTGCTCTGTGTACCTGGGACATCAGACAGCCCACCTCACTTCTGGTGTGCCCACCAGAGGCCAGAGCCCTGCTTCTCTTCTATGTCAATGTGATGTGGTAATGGCAGGAGGTGGAAGTCTAGTTACCTCCCCCTCGGGCATCAGGGAAGGCATGCTGTGACTGAGCACTTATGATATGAAGACAATGGGCCACCTGGGCTGTAGTTTACAGCTCAGCTCAGAGACTTTACCTGGGCTATCCCAAATTGTAACTGCCTACAAGGGCACAGAGCAGATCCTCAAAATATACTTGTTAATTTTTTTCTGAAAGTACTAGGGTTTGAACTAAGAAAATATTTGTTGAAATAAAAAACTTTAATTAGGAAACCAGAAAAATGAATATTCTACTTACACACATCAGCATTCAATTTCCAGTGGCAAGATTAATAAAAAAAAAAACTAAACCTGATGGAAATCTGAATTAATACCTTTCTGAAAGGTTAAGTTGACTCCACCTGTGTAACACCAATTTAAATGTGCAAATCTTTCTCATATGTACTACTGAGTGAAAAAACAGGTTCTGGAACAGTGTTGAGTGTCATTAAGCATTTATTATATACACAGATAAGTATGAAATATGTTTACAGAAATGTCAAAGAGGCAAAAATGTTAGCCAAGTTTTCTGCGAGTGTGATTTTAGATAATTCTGTTTTATTTTTGTGAACTTGGGTATATTGCTGGGATAGTTCAGAATATTAAAAACAAAGGTACCTTTCCAACAGCCTTAGGAAGGAGGAAAGATGAGGAGGGGTGAAGAGAGAACTGTTGGGAAACAGATACACCCGAGCATGCAAAGTGGCAGAAATGGTTGCTGTTGAGTCCAGGTGCCTACCTGGGGGGTGGATGAGGAGACTCTGAATCAGGTCTTCCTGCCCCCTGTGTCTCAGAATGCTGCTGAGAATAGTCGGAGGAAGGCTGCTGCTTCTGCTCTTCTGAAGACTTGAGCCCCACAGAAGCATGGAAGGCCCGTGGCACCAGAGGTTGTCGGCAGCGGGACACTGAAACATAAACTATGTTTATGTCAGAGACACCAGAAGAGACCCTTTGAGACCCAGAGGACGGCATTACAATGGGGAGGGTATCCTGGGAACTGGTGGCTCATGGCTGTAATCCTAGTTGCTCAGGAGGCTGAGATCTGAGGATCATGGTTCAAAGCCAGCGAAGGCAGGAAAGTCCATGAGGCTCTTATCTCCAATTAACAACCAGAAAATTGGAACTAGTGCTGTGACTCAAAGTGGTAGAGTGCTAGCCTTGAGCAAAAAAGCTCAGGGGCAGTGCCCAGGCCCTGAGTTCAAGCCCCACAACCAACTCCATTTTTTTTTTAAGTTAATTAACTAATTTAAAGACCAACGGGAAAGAAGACAGAGGCTCCTCTGGAACACTCAGCCAAGTGTTGGGTCCTACACAGAAACCTTAAGTCAGATATGGCAGCAAGAGTAGTGAACCAAAGAATAAAAGAACAATCTAGCCTCTTGGTCTATTTTGTCTCGTGGCCTATTTTGATGATTGCCAACTATGTGGAATTGGGCAAACCATTCTCTCAACGTGCAGATTTGGAAATCCACCAATTTAGGATAATAATCTGCATGTGAAGCCCAAGGAGTAGAAAATGTCACATACTTATAAGAACAGAGGTATAAGGAGAAGTTGAATTCAACATGTCAGTTTACAAGTGAAATGCATCTTGATCAACATTATCCTTTCCATCATTTGGGATTGTTATTATTTTGAGATATTATGCCCCTTAGGCTGGTCTTAAACTCAGGATTCTCATGCCTTAGCCAGATTACAGTTATGCCCTACCAAAGCTGGCTTTTTGTTGTTGGTGGTCAGTTGTGGGGCTTGAATTCAGCTATCCCTGAGCTGTTCTGCTCAAGGCTAGTGCTCTAATACTGAGCCATAGCTCTACTTCTGGCTTTTGAGTGGTTAATTAGAGATAAGAGTCTCACAGGGAGTTTTCTGCCCTGGCTGGCTTCAAACCTGGATCTTCAGATCTCAGCCTCCTGAGTAGCTAGGATTACAGTTATGAGCCACTGGTACCTGGCTACCTAACCAGTTCCTTCTTCAAGTGGACACCTTACTGCAACAGTGAATGAAATCCATCCTTACCATTTTAACTATTGTCTGTCTTGATCTGTCACAGCTTTAGTTTTTGTTGCCCTGTAGTATTCCATTAAAAAACATTACTATTTTTGTTGACAGTACTTGCTGTTCAATGTTTAGCCATGATAAATAAGATGCTATGATTGTATTTTTTTTTTGCCAGTCCTGGGGCTTGAACTCAGGGCCTGGGCACAGTTCCTGAACTTCTTTTTGCTCAAGGCTGGCTAGTACTCTACCACTTGAGCCACAGCGCCACTTCCGGCTTTTTCTGTTTGTGTGGTATGAGGAATCGAACCCAGGGCTTCATGCATGCTAGGCAAGCATTCTACCACTAAGCCACCTTCCCATCCTTGTACATGTTTTTGTAGACATATGCTTTCATTGCATTTGGGTAAATACTTAAGAGTGGATCTACTAGGTCTACTTCTACTAAATACATTTATTCTGGAATTCTGTGTAAACACAACAAAAAAAGGTACTCCATTAAAAAATAAGTAGACCCTAGTGTGGTAACCCCACAATTAGGAGAAGCATGATTGTGTGGCCAACTCTGGCTTCATAGGCAGTTTTAGGCCAGCATGGGTGACATATAGTGAGACACTGCCTCACAGAACAAACACAAGACAACACACACAGTATATAGAATAACTCAGGAGCTGTGTGTGTGTGTGTGTGTAATGGGGCTTGAACTCAGGACCTAGGCTCTATCCTGAGCGTTATTTTTGCTCAAGGCTAGTGCTCTAACTTTGAGTCACAGATCCACTTTCAGTTTTTTAGTGGTTAATGGGAGATAAGTGTCAGACTTTCCTACCCAAACTGGCCTTGAACCTCGATCTTCAGATTTCAGCTAGGTGTGAGCCACTAGTGCTGACTAGGAACAATGATTTTTGTAAGAGCCCGGAGCATGGATTAAGTAGTAGACCACCTGCCAGACAAGCAGAGATCTGGAGTTCAAACTCCAGGACCACAAAAAATACATATAGTGTTATCAATAAAACAGAACAGCATTATAAGAGCAACCTGTATATCTTGGTATATGTAAAGAAAAAGTGGAGGAGCTATCTCAAAGTATGACCACAAAACCCGTGCATTTCATGAGAAAACTGGAGTTGAAATGCAAGAGAATGACATTCATATACGAGTCCACATATTATTACAGTGTATTTGCAGAAGATGGTGTTTTTAATTTATAATAATGTACAGTTCTCTCTTTAATCTGGATAGCCAGATGCAGAAATAAAAACACAGCAGGGCTGGAGAGAGCACGGTGGCTTATGCCTATAGGACAGGGGTCCAGGCCAGCCGATGGGGACCAAACCCCATCTTAACAAAGAAGCCGGGGGCCTGTGACCCCTAGTAGGCGAGAGGTGTAAGTGGGAAGGAAAGTAAGACGATTGCGGCCTGTGGCCTCCTGGAACAAAAGGACGGTGAGACCCTATCTGAAAAATAACTCAAGTGGAAATGGGTTGGGGACTTGGCTCAAGTGCTGGAAGCTGCGGGCCTGAGTTCAAATCCCCGTTCTGTCAAAAACCAACAAAACTAGACATAGGGCCCCAATAGTGGCACACTAATGTTGCTAAGTGAGGGACGCTGCGGGAAAACGACTGGCTTTGGGAAAACAATAGAACTGGCCGCCCGGGCGTGAGCTGCCACGGTCCCTGGGTGACCCCGGCCCGGGCACCATGAGAAGGGGGCCAAGACTGCGGGTTCCGCGACCCAGGGGCTCGGTGACCTTGGATGTCCGGCTCCTCACCGAGACTCCGTTAACAGGCCTCGCCCGTGCCCCCGCCCCGCACTGCCCGCGGGCAGACAGCAAAGCCGGCCGAAGGAACTGCTCCACACCGACGCCCTTCACTTCACCTTGCCCGCGGGCCGCCGCCACCGGGGCCTCTTCCGCCCCGCACCCGGCCTCGGTCGACCTCGCGCCCTTCCCTGCATACGTTCCCCGCTCCCAAGCTCGGCCGCCCCCTCACCGGGTAGGCACCGCAGCTGCAGGAGCCTCCAGCCCGCCCGGCCCAGCACGCCAGACACCGCTGCCGCCATCTTGGAAGCGGGCACGTACGCTGACGCTCCCCGACGCGACGGGCAGCGTCGGAACGTCATGCGGCACTTCCGCCCTGTGGGGTCCCCGCGGTGCCTCTTCTCGCGAGAGGCGGGACACGCCGTGGAGCCGGCGACTGCAGAGAGAACCCCGGAGCTCACCGGGGCAGCAGGTGAGCGTGCCCCCGGGTTCCCTGAGCGCCCGACCTTCCCCAACCGTCCTCTCCCGGCCATCTTCTTCTCGTTTCCCGTCAGTCCCGGCCCTCTGTGGGGACCCGCGGAGGCCCCGGAGGGCTGACGACCCGGGAAGCCGATGTGCGGGACGCCGCTGCCCCGGGCTCGCTCCAGGCTCCGGTCCTGGTTGGTGTCTGCCCTTTGGGCGCTTTCCGTATTCGGAGGAGGAGAAGGCCCGAGCTGGCATCTGGGACATCTGGGTCTGCGATCGGGTTCTCACCGTGGCCAGCTGTTGTGACCTTGGATCTCAGTTTCCCCAAAGTTGTTGTCTCGCCGCGGGGAGGGGGGTTACCCAGCAACCGAGCACTGAAAGTTGGAGATACTTGAGCATACAGATAGTCATTTTGAACCCCTCACCGTCTGGGGTTGAATGTTTCCCAAATTTGACTGGTGGGACTGCATGATTTGGGATGCTAGTCTATAAAACCTAAGGCTTTGTCCTGGGGGGCTGGGGGGGGGCCGGGGGGTGACTTGGTGTCTGGGTATGGTCCAGGAATCTTCTCCCTGAGCATTCGTGGGGAGCTGGTGATAACTGGAAGTCAAGTCTGCTTATGTGGAAGCTGGTAATTCTGTAAATTTTGCCCATTTGCATTTAGTCCTCATCCTTTTCAAGTCGTGTTTGGCACACCCTAATCTGAAATTTTCAAAACCTCCAACCTCTTACCTCCCCTTTCCCTCTCTCCCATGAATGTGGAAGACCTCCTAAGCCAAAACTTTTTAAATGTAAAAACTAGATCCTAGTCTTTGGATTTAAGTAAAATATTCCTGGGGCTTGTTTTCTCTTTGTTTTTGAGATGAGATTTCTCTGTGCTTTCCAGGTTGGTCTAGAATTGTTGAACACAAGTGATCTTTCTTGTCACAACCTCCCAAGTAGCTGGCACTACAGCACCAAGTCCAACGCAAGTTCGCTGTGTGGGGGGTGAGGAAAGGGGGGATTGTGTACGTGTACATGTTGAACTCAGCCTGGGCACTGTTCCTCACCTTTTTCACTCAAGGCTTCAGCCACACCTCCACTTCTAGCTTTTTGGTGGTTTATTGGAGATAAGAGTATCATAAACTTTTTTTGCCTGGGCTGGCTTTGAACCATGATCCTTTGATCTAGTTCCTGAGTCGCTAGGATTACAGGTATGAGCCACTGGTGCCTAGATACTATTTTTGGTCACCTAATTCTTAAAGGGAACCAATGGCTAAAGATTTGATGCTTACTTGGGGCTATAGAAATAAGCATTTCCAGACATTATTTTCAGACATCTACTTTTACTTGCTACCAGTTTAGAGGTGGCACAGGCATGTGTGTGCAGTACAGTTGCTGTGGCATCTAGCAAGCAAGATCAAGGACCTGACATTGACTTCTACTTCTCTTTAGTTGTGAAACTGGGCCCTGAGTCACACAGTTCCTACGTGTATTGGCTTGGACGCTGGAAATTTTTTTCTTGTGGATTAAAAAAAAAAATTGAATCACAACAAAAACAAAGCTCTGATGAAGAAGTGTGGCACGTTTGCTTCTAGACAGTTAGAAAACATTGTTTAGGAAATGCTGAGTAATAGTAGAGGCTATAACTATGTTGGGGGAGAGAGGTTAATGCTTAATGTGTTTTATGAGCTCTCTCACCTAAGATTAGGAGTTAGATGGCAGGACATTTTGCTGACATTCTCGTGTGTGTGTGTGTGTGTGTGTGTGTGTGTGTGTGTGTGTGTGTGGTGTGTGCGCGTGCGCGCGCACGTGTGCTGGGCCTAGCCTAGATGCCATCCCTTATCTTTTTCACTCAAGGCTGGTGCTCTACCACTTGAGCCACACCCCCACTTCCAGCTTTTTGGTGGTTAAGTGGAGATAAGAGTCTCTTGGATTTTCTTGCTCAGAGTGGCTTGAAATCCTCAGCACACACGCCTCCTGAATAGCTAGGATTATAAGTGTGAGCCACTGGCAGCCAGCATCCCTGTCTGGTTCATTTTAAATGTGAAGTTGTTCCCAAGTTGTTTACCTTAAAGATTTGCAAGGGATCTTCCTCAACATCACGTGACAATTCAAAGCTTAAAAGTTGTCAGTTCTTGATGGTGCACTTTTTAAGCATTTAAACCCCAAAATTAAATGACTAAGGAAACCTGACTGCCCACTAATGCTTGTTATCCTTGTACTGGGGCTGAGAGTTCAACTGGGGTAATGAAAGGTGGTAAAAGGCTAACAGTGGAGCTGTCCAGGTTTCTTTCTCATGAAACTGGGAGGGATTCACTGGGGAAGGGTAGAGCCAAATTTCCAAGGCCCTGAATCCAGCAGGCTAAGGAGCTTTGCTTTTCTCTAGAAATGAAACTGTTAGTAACTCATTTCTGAAATGAGTATATAATCAAAGCACTGTAATAATTAATGGTGACTAGTGATTGGGCCTGGTTTTTGTAGGCAGAGAGGAGACAGGCAGTCATGAAAAGTGATTTTATAGATGGAAGAGTGCTGTGTACACGGCTTAAATTCAGCCCCAGGGTGGATGGTGGATGTGTCACCTGTGCAGAGGTCAGAAGTGTTCACTAATCAGTGCCCCACCCTTCGGCTACCACTTTGTCTTGGTGACTATAAGGTTGGAGGAGGAAGAGCTGAACCCAGTGCTATCTGTTGACCTTATTTCAAGGTGATCACTTAGATCTCCACTGCAGATCAAGTGGAAAAGAAGCTGGCCTGTGGGGAAGTTTCCACGGTTAAACCAGGGCTTTCAGATCCCTGCCCTTAGCTTACCCACAGCTCAGCTCACACTGCATTAGAGGCCTCACACCCTGACCTCTAAACTGGGAGTAACCCAAGTTTAAGGCTGCTCTGTGGGTCAATTGAGAAAATATTTGTAAGGTGCTTTGAATAAATGGCTGACATTTAGTGATAAAGACAGTAGATACTATCAACCACAGCTGATTTAGGATTAAAGTTTTACCTTTTTTTGTTGTTTTTTTTGGGGGGGGTCCGGTCATGGGGCCTGAACTCTGGGCCTGGGTGCTGTCCCTCAGCTCTTCAGCTCAAGGCTAGCGCTCTACCACTTGAGCCACAGTGCCACTTCCAGCTTTTTTTTCTTTTTTCTTATGTGGTGCTGAGGAATCCAACCCAGGGCCTCTGGCATGCAAGGCATGTGCTCTACCACTGATCCACCTTCCCAGCCCCTAAAGTTTTACATTTTAAAGAAGGAGGAAATACCAGTATTCAGTTTGCAAAGTTCAAATATGTTGTCTCTTAAAAATATTTAAACTGGGGAAGTGGAGCTGTGGCTCAAGCAGTGGAGTGCCAGACTGGAGTGAAAAAGATAAGGGACAGTGCTCAGGCCCTGAGTTCAAGCCCCAGTGCCAGTACAGGTGCATGCATGTGGGCACAGGCGCGTGCACGCTCGCGTGCACACACACGTACACACAAATTAAGCGCAAGTTGCATGCCAGTGGCTCATACCTGTGATCCTAGCAACTAAGGAGGCTGAAATCTGAGGATCTCAGTTTGAAGCCAGTCTGGGGAGTCTCTTATTTCCAGTTAACTATCAAAAAAGCTGTTCAGTGGTAGCTCAAAGTGGTAGAGTGCTACCCTTGAGCAGAAAAAGCTTAGGGACAGCAACCAGGTTCTGAGTTGAAGCCCCAGGACCAGCACACAAACAAAAAGTAAGCTGAAAAAAGGGCTGGGGGTTACCTATGTGATGAGCACCTGCCTAGCCAAGTGCAAGGCCTTGCACTGAAACCACAGTACCACCAAACAAAACCGAAAACCATCAGGTTGAGGTTGGGTTATGTCTGCCAGCTTACTTAACCTTTGCTGAATCACACTTCAATTAATACTCTCCAGCCAAGTGATAATAAAGAAGAAATAATCTTGGGCTGGGAAGGTGGCTCAGTGGTTAAGGTGCTTGCCTTGCATGCCTGAGGCCCTGGGTTCAATTCCTCAGCACCACATAAGCAAAAACAAAAAAGCCGGAAGTGGCACTGTGGCTCAAGTGGTAGAGCGCTAGCTTTCAGCTGAAGAGCTGAGGGACAGTGCCCAGGCCCAGAGTTCAGGCCCCATGACCGGACCCAAAAAAAAAAAGTAGAAATAATCTTGCTGCCTCCAACCTCCTTACTTGGCTCTAATCCCCTTCCTCAGCCCCAGCTCTGTCTGGGAAGGTTGGATTGTGAAGTGCTGATGTGTTTCATTTATTCACTAGCATGAGCATTCTCTGGCAGGAGGTTGGGAGTAGGTTGTGATCCCAATCGTACTGTATGATACCGCGTGGATTAAGTTGCACTGTAGCCTCTCAGTCCTAATTCCCCTCTGCTCACAGCCTTTAGGTGCTTCAGCCCTGCAGACATGGCAGAGTTTGGGATCTCGGCTGGCCAGCGTGTGGCCGTGGTCTGGGATAAGTCATCCCCTGTGGAAGCCCTGAAAGAGCTGGTGAATAACCTTCAAGTGCTGACCGGCAGCGAAGGCCAGGTGTCCGTGGAAAACATCAACCAGCTGCTGCAGTGTAAGTGAAATTTCAAGGGAGTGCTACTGATCTCTAGTGCCTTGATCTGAGGGTTTTTCCTGGCTGGCTTATGAAAGTAGAGGCTAGTGGTTTCTTTATGTTCTTGTTCCTTAGTAACTATTCCATGTGTGTATGTGTGTGTGTGTGTTTGTTTGTTTGTTTTGTTTTGTTTTTTGGTCATGGGGCCTGAACTCTGGGCCTGGACACTGTCCCTCAGCTCTTCAGCTCAAGGCTAGCGCTCTATCACTTGAGCCACAGCACCACTTCTGGCTTTTGCTTATGTGGTGTTAAGGAATGGAACCCAGAGCCTCATGCATGCAAGGCAAGCACT